ATTTTAAAGGAGAGTAGATGCATCTGGATGAGAGTTGCTGGGAGGAGTTCTGAATTCTGAGATGTGAAAGCTCAGAACCTAAATGACCTGTTTTGACCTAAAAGCTGTTTTGACCTGAAACTAAGGTCTAATATTAGTCATGCTAGAGACCCAGCTAAAACAAACTCTCAACCCCCCCCAAAACCTTTGGGAGGGTGGGAACTGAAGAACTCCAGAAGGAAGGTAGGGAATAGCTGCTAATATGTGGTGATTTGGTTGCTAAGTTGTGTCCGACTCTTGTGACCCCGTGGACTGCAGCCCACCAGGCTCCTCTGTCCATGGGATTTTCTCCAGGCAAGAATACTGGAGTGGGTTGCCATTTCCTCCTCCAGGGGATCTTTCCCACCCAGGGATCAAACCTGGGTCTCCTGTGTTGCAGGCAGATTCTTTACTGACTCAGCTCCGAGGGAAGTCCAGCTGCTAACATAAGGGAAACTAATTTTCCTGATAGGCATTTCGTTAAAAATTAAAACAAAGAAAGAAAGGACTGCCAAACCTGACTCTTTTTCATCCTTCCAGATTCATCCATTTTCAAAAGCCCCAGCTTCATAGTTCTCTGATTGCAGATTCTAACCAAGGTGGGCAGAGCAAAGCTCATTTCCTAAGGGAATGAAACTGGCAACCAGGGCTGTGAATCACTAAAGGGAAGTGTTGGCAGAGAAACACTTTAGGATCCAGTAATAGGCTGAGTCCTGGGCTTGCACAGATGGGCTTTCAATGTGGCTGTGGCAGGGCCCTTCTCAATCTCAACAACCAGTGACCTTACCGAAAAGTGGATACATACAGAGGATAGCACAGTCACAAGTGGGCATGGATTTTTATTCTCAGTGCACAATAGTTTGGTTTCTGCTCATCAGCAACAGCTTCATTGGTTCTAAAAAAAAAAGATCTCTTTTTTCCTTCTTTTAAAACTCCCCTTCCATTCTTGCTGTCTCAGTGGAACAACATATTTGAATTTCAGAATTGCCATTTATAGCATTTTTTTCCTAAGAACCATATAAATACATGCAAAACATTGTACAGAGAGCTTAAATAATATTAAAATGCAAATACAGATTGGGTGTACTGTTTAGCTGAACTGTAGATTATAGCAACACACACTGGGATACACATTGCTTTGATATCACCGTTTGTGTATGTCATGCAGATCACGATAATCAATCTTCTGTTTTGTTTTTTTTTTTTTTCTTTTGTACAAAATACCAGTGCCTGTTATACTAGTTACTGAAAAGAAAAAAAAAAAGAAACTCAAAATTCCTATCTGTGTGCTAATTTTAAACAATGTAGATAGGTTTGTTGGCACATATATATGGCATATTCACATATGGCATATATACATACAGGGAGAAAACATGAACCAAAGGCCAATTCAGTCATGGGGAGCTCACCTCCCCCCACCTCTCCTAATCAGGAGGAAAGGGGACAGCAGGTCTAACAGCAGGCTGGGAAGGTAAGGACAGCACTGAGCTAAATGGAAGGATGTCTGGTCTGTTCTGAGCAAGAGCCTGTAAAGGCTGAAGAAGAGCAGGCATTTACAAAGGGTTCCACCCCCACCCCTGCAGTGAGGGGGTCCCCAGCTGTGCAGAGGGAGGAAGAGGAAGTGTGCACTTTGGGATGGCGTCAGGGGCTGCTTCAGTCACTAGGCAGGGAAGACAGGAAAGAGAAGAAGTGATGAGTTTAGAGGTTTTGTGAGCTTGCCATGCCCCTGGGTTTTGGCAATGAGGTAATCACTCAGATTTAACTGTGCGGACTCTCCCCTCTGAAGTTCAAGGGAAGAAGAAATGCAAACCCTGAAGAACTCACAAGTGCCTGCGGGATTTCTTGGTCTCTCTACCACACTTAGAGATGGAGAGTCATTTTAGAAGCAGAGGATACCTATGGGAAGGATCTAGTCAAGATTGTCACCTAGGGCTAGAACCAGCCTTTATTTTTCTGTGCAGAGCTATTATCTGCCATCTAATCTATTGCATGAGACTTTTCTAGGGGAGGGGGAGAAGTCTCAAATCAAATCCTTGCACAAAGAAATCACTAATGGAAAACTCCAGGGGCAACAGGAGGTGAAAGAACCATAAAAAATGCAACCCCCAAATCAGAGTACCCATGCAGCCCAGTGTCTTGGGTACCACTCTACTAGCTGTTCTTCAAGAAATATAAATGTACCCGAGGTCCCTGATCCTGATCACTAGTTCCTGATACCCATTTCCATGGGGATGTGCACTTATTTCCTGCCAGCTGTTCCTTCTTCCTGGATGCCTTCCTTCCCATTGGTAATCTACTGCCCATTTTTCTAGTTTTATCAAGAGAGGAATCTAGGATAATATTTCCCCCTTTTCCCCATCAGACTCTTTTCAAATCCAAAGCACCATTTTTTGGGGAAAGCTTTATTAACTTATGCCATATTTATTCACTGCCAGTTGGATCACTGAAACTGAATAGGAAAAAAAATATATAAAAAATATATGCACATAAGCACTTAAACTTGCTCAATTCCATATCAGCAAAATTTATATTAAAAAGTTCTAGAATCCAACAAAATTCTTCCCCCTAAGCATAAAGATGGCTGTTTGGAGAAAGGTAGTGTGGTGCATTGGTTTTAAAACCAATTGCAAATACACTGTAAGTCACCTGTCATGTCTAACAGTTGGTTATGTGCCCGCTTCCACAGGGTCACATGACAGCACTTTATTTTAAATCCTTTAAACAAAATACATATGGCTGACTCAAAAAATATCAGTTTATGATCTAAAGAAAACTATATATTGTTTGCATAATATTTCTATGTTTTCTTTCTTACTATGGAAACCAGAATACACACAAAAAATCCCATTGACTTTAACAAGTAGACACAAGCCCTCAAGAGTAAACTTGTCAGGCACCATGAGAGTCTTTTGGGAGCAGGAATGATAAAATAGCCTCCAAAGTTTGTTTTAAAAATTGATCTGAGGTAATAAAAGACTCGACAGAACTAAATCTTCCAATTACTTAATAAATATACATGTGAACACAGAACACCTCGGGTGATCTGTTTTTCCCCATTAGTACTAAAGATAGAGGAAAACGAGATCACTGAAGCATGCAACTTTGACAAAACCAGAGTCAGACTTGGGGGCTGATGCACTAATGGGATGTGCAGGGGCACCGTTTCTTTACTTCTCCTTCCCAGGGCAGCTCTGGTGAGAGAGGGAGGGAGGAGGGAGCCACAGGAGAAGGCTGCAGACCACAGGTCAGGTCACCGGACCCCCAGGTGGACATGCAGCAGTCCCCAGCCGCCTCAGGGCCCTTCTCCCCATCCCCGTCACTCGAGAAAGAGGGGAGAGGCTTCATTTATCCAGTGGAGATGGGACTTGGCAGACATGAGCTGACTCCTGCACAGAAGAGCTTATATCAGCACAGCAGGGAGAGAAATGGAGAAATTGCACATGCGGCTCCACCCTGTCCCATTAAGGAACACTTAAAAAATCTCCTAGCCAATTCCCTGGCTCCTGAGAGCCAGGTGGGGAAGGGGATGCTTTGGGCAGTGCTCAGGGGGAGAAGGCACAGGGCCTCCTTGGGCCGCACTGAGAATTCTAGAAGGGGCTTGAGCAGGGTGTAGGGAGCGGGAGTGGGGGGGGAGCCTCCTTTTGCTCCTTTAAGTCAGCAGAGTGTCACTGGAGCCAAATATTTTCAAAATCAGAATATATGAGAAAGGCTGGGGCCCTTTCAGCGACTAGATGAGTCAAGGGACACAGCAGAGTAGAATTAGAAAACCGAAGGCAATGTCCAAGCTGACCCCAGTCACCTGAGCTCCAGGTTTCTGGCTTCTCATATCCTGCTGCAAGGGCACTTTGGCCTCTCCCACGCCTCCTCAATCCTCACTCCCCCAACAATCAGGCCCTACCCGAGAAAAGCCTTAGCAGATGGCTTTGAAAGCAGTAGTGGTTACCCCAAGGAGGACTCATAGTTGGCTTCGATGGTCTGTCTTGTCCTAGATCTGCCAGCTTCTGTTCCTTAATATCCAAGTCCAGTTAGGAGGCAGGGTCAACCTTAATTCATTCCTTTGCCACCACTTTAGGAATAGGAGAAAGCTCAGGCTTCAGGTAGAACCCACAAACCACATATACGTGTGCTTTGTGGTCAAGGTTCATCTTCCTGGCACTCAGAAACCACATGCCCGACAAGATGGCAGCTTAGAAGTAGACAACCTGGCAACAACTGGGATATCGTATTACCTGCTCTCAACTGCATCCAAAGGACCATCAGCAAAGAAATGTATCTGTCTCTAGAAATAAATCAAGAGTTCCATTGGGGCCAGAAGGGAGAAAGGTCAAAGTTGACTCAACTCACCCATATTCTTTCCATTTTCTTAATCATCACAACTTAAAAGAGTGAAGGTAAGGAAGACAATGGTCACAAAGGACCAAGAGATTGTGGGGAGGTTTGATTGGAAGGGCAGAAAGAGGTTAAGGGCCTTAGGTATAAGTTTTCAAAATGAAAAAATTGTTTTAAAACAATCACTCTATAGGCTGAATCTGTACCTTCCATTCTTACCTCAACACATTTCATTTGATGATGTTTGTAGCTCTGAATTTTGAACTGAGCTCATAAACAGCATAGACTCATAGGGTAAAAATCCAGAAGTAAGGAGACTAGTGACATAGGCATGAATACTGGGGAGAACTGGAGGTGGGCTAGACGCCAAGATGATTTTCGTCATTTCTCTCAAAATGACTACTGACACATCCAAGGAATAGATCCACCACTCATCACTTGCCTGGGGCTTAACTGGGTCCTGCTACAAACCCCAACTTAAGTTTCAGTTAAAATCCTTGTGGGTCTGTGCTCTTGCCTCTTCACGGTCAGGTGCAGTTCACACATACTTGGGAGCAGCTAACATGACAGTGAAAACTCCCATCATCACCTTACTGATGGGACAGATAAAAAGGGAGATAGGGAAGGCAGGAATGGGAATCAGAGGATGAAGTTCAAACTGACGTCTCCAGGCTGTGTAGAGGGCTGTCCGAGTGGGAAGCAACAATTTGTACTTGGCAGCAATCCACCGAATTGTTGTTCCTGTTGGTTTGTGGAGTGACCTCACCATCCGGTGAGGGCATCTTAGTCCCAGGCTTAGACACCTTTTCAAAAATTTCCTCTTCTTGCTCATCCAGGAGTGGTGTTCGCGGCCCCTCCTCATCTATGGTGAATTCAGGGTGGGTCATGAAGTTGTGGATGGAGTTTTGGTTCCTGGGTTTCTGAATGCTTTCGTGGAGGGAACTATGGAACGCTTTGACCACTTTGATCTACACCAGGGGAAGGAAAAGGAGGGTGAGAAAATGCAGTGGTGAGAACTGGTCAGCAGAACAGGGAACTGGGTGGTTTGATGACAGAAACAAAGCCCAAACTACAGAACACTACTGCTCCACAACCCAGACCAGACGCATGAGAAGAGACCATGAAACACTAGAACATCACGTGACTTAAATTTCAAGCACTGAGGTGGGGTGGGGAGAGTGAATAATGACAAACAACTAGAGTATTTCAAAGCTGCATAAAAAAAGTAGAAAACCCAAAGCAAAGTTAGCATTCCCAAACAATCTACTCTTAAAATTAAATAGGAAACAAAAAGTTTCATTAGTTCTTTTGGATGGAAGGCAAGGACATTGGAATTAGGTGTAATTTAATAGTCAAACTTAAAAGTTGATCCAGACATGTGGATTTCTGTGTTGGGGCCAAATATTTTGTGAGTGTGGAATGGGAGATTACACATTGAAGTTTAGTTATCTGTTGAAAACCCTCAATAAGCCAAACACACATCAATTTGCACACAATACACGTTGGGTGATAAGCGGCCATGAATGCTGTGCGGCAAGGCAGACAACACCGTGCCGCTGTGTTAGCAGCATGCAAGAAATCAAAACTCTTATACTCTCCAATTTAATAATTGCTCTTTCAGTCAGGAAACATGCATATGTTTATATCCCATAATCTCCACCATGTCCTCTTCCCCCAAACAAAGCACAACTCCACTCCTGCAGTCCCTCCCCTTGAAGAGATGGATAAATACAGGCATCACAGCTGCCCCCTCTGGGGCTGACAGAGGGCTGCTCTCTCAGTTCAGATGAGGTTGGACGCGTGCGGCCATGACTCTGACACACGGCAGCGGTGCCGAGTCATAAAGCTTTCTCCAGCTGTTTGTAAATTACGAAGAGGAACATAATCTTAGGTAGGGGAGGGAGAGTGTGGGGTCAGAACAGAGCCACTCAGGCCAGGAGGCTTTTCTGATGGGATGGACCAAGAGGATGGGGGAAAGGAAACCACCTGTAGTTTGGGCAGAGGGGAACACACTGCCTCTCAGAGCCACAGGCTTTGCTCACTGCACAACAAAGGAAGGGGCTCAGTTTAGAAGAGAAGAAGAAACACTTGACCATCACTGATCCCTCTGCCCAGCCTTCACTTTATCCATAGGCACCAGCTCTTCTGGCAGCTGCTTTTCTGAACTGGAAACCTCTCTGAGGTACGCTTTAGAACTTGGGTTGCTAGAACTGGAGTAGGGGGCAAGGTGGGATCCCGAGAGGCTGGAGAGAGAGGGGAAAAGCAAGTGGTCGTAGGACAGTTTTAGTTCTCGGGAGGTGGCTGATCCTAGACTTATCCCAAAGTTGTTTCATCAGAAAATAAATGGAGATGATGCAGGAGAGACTGCTGAAATTGGGAGAGGGAAGAGAAGTGATGGGGGCTGGGGTAGGGCACCTCCTCCATCACACTGCTCTCTCAGAAGAGAACACTTTCCTGAAGAGGATGGATCCAGCACAGCACACGGAGACACAGGCAAATAGGCTGCACAGCTTGTCTCGAGGCTCCCTGTCACTGTGCAGAGCCCTCAGAGGCGAAGCTGCATCTCTCCCGGCCAAGGCTTTCTCTGTCTTGCCTCACTCCACGGCACACGGGCGGACCCACAGGACAGAGGGCACCCAGCGCTCAGAAGGCAGAGGACGGTGTCACCCGGTGAGATCAGCTCAGCACTTCAGCCAAGAAGAATCGAGGGACCTGGGCACACATTCGCCTTGCTACACACGAAGTTAGGACCTATTCTTCTGTCCTTTTGGTAAGATCAGATGGAATACAGGTTACATCTGGTTTTCAGGAAATCCCAAGTTATAATGGGTCTATGTCGAATCTTAGAGCAAAGCAACTTGGATTAAGTGAGATCGAATCCAATGCCCTAGTTAGGAGACGGGCTCAAAGCCATACTCCCCCCTGAAGGGGTGCTGGCACAGCCCACAGTTTTCACTCACTCTTCTGATCTCCACATTTCTAATAGGTGCTACACGTAACAGGTACCTCTATACCATGAGCTGATCATCTTCAGTATCTGTGATTTTCAAACTTCCTGCTTCCGTTTTTTTTTTTTTGAAGCAACTGAATAGTTTGTTAAAACAATTATAAGTGAAGTCCAATCTAGAAAACAGATGTTTAAAAACAGGGGTTGCAATGAGGTTCTGGAGCCCTGTTTCCTGGTTTTTCGTCTCACCTGTAGGGGGGATGAGTCACTGTTACAGGCAAATAATAAGGGAGATGAAGGTGACGTGGGGATGGGGGGATGGAAGAGATAGGGGCAGTTTCTTCTTTAGGGGAGCAAGGAACAGTCATCCAGCTAGATAACAGGGCTCTGGACTCTAAAGAGAAAGCAGCCGCCTGTAAGGGAAGCTCCAGAAGAGGAGTCAGAGAGCTCGGAAGCACCGTCTGGTGGGCTGGAGGTGGACAGGAGGGTGGGGGGCAGAGGGTGTCGGTTGCGCCAGAAGGCCCCTCGATCCCGGCACTGACCTCGGAGACTCTGTGACACGCATGGATGCCCAGCACACAGTTAGCGCATCACCAGCCTGGCCCAGGCGGAGGCAGCCTCCCTTCCTGGTGCACAGCGCCTGGTGCCCGAGCAGTGTGTGGGGGACAAGACAGAGAAAGAGGCGGGTGCTGGGCAAGCTTCAGGCCCTCTCCACTCGGCCAGTCAGCCTTTCCTTCCCCAGTCACCATCGCTCAGAGTCTCTGGGAAACGTCCCTTCTGCAGCGCTTATCCTACAGGTCAAAGTGGCTGATTGAAGAGCAACTCTTTCTCACGGCTCAGAGGTCCAAACCAGGCTGGACCTTAGATTAGGCATGAGTGCTAAGGGCCACTCTCTGGAGTTCAATGAATGGGAAGATGAAGACTCCCTTTTCTTCAGCTGGTATTCTGCAGTTTTCCTTTGCAGAAATCAAGGAGAGTGAAGGAATTAGGGCCTTCCTAGAGAGGGAAATCTTGGGTTTCCCAAGTGGTAGTAGTGGTAAAGAACCTGCCTGCCAATGCAGGAGACATAAGAGACACAGGTTCGATTCCTAGCTCAGGAAGATCCCCTGGAGGAGGGCATGGCAACCCACTCCAGTATTCTTGCCTGGAGAATCCCATGGACAGAGAAGCCTGGCGGGCTATAGACCACAGGGTCACAAAGAGTCAGATGTGACTGAAGCGACTTAGCATGCAGAGAGGGAAATCTGAGAGATCTGTCTGCCGAAGGTTAGATAAATAATTGAATTTGTTTGGAAATCTGGAATGGGAAATGGGTTTTAAAGTGCATGCCTATACCTTCTAGGCCCTCCAGTAAGAAGGCACAGCTGGAGAAAGAGCAGGCATGGCCTGCCTCTCTGGATTCTCCACCTTTGAAGGTTTGCACCCTGTCCTCTGCCGGCGGCCCTACAGGAGCCCGATGGGCGCTGGCTTTTGCTTAGTGTCCTCCCACCTTCAAATCACCAGGACAGGTGACACTAACCCTTCCCAACAGAGAGGCAGGATTTAAAAAAGAACAGAAACTAATCAGAAGGACATGGTAAAACTAGAAGAAAACAGGAAACAAGAGGAATATGGGAGGACTAGAGCAAGAGACGGAGAATGCACTGGCACCCCACTCCAGTACTCTTCCCTGGAGAATCCCATGGACGGAGGAGCCTGGTAGGATGCAGTCCATGGGGTTGCTAAGAGTCAGACACGACTGAGCGACTTCACTTTCACTTTTCACTTTCATGCATTGGAGAAGGAAATGGCAACCCACTCCAGTGTTCTTGCCTGGAGAATCCCAGGGACCGTCTATGGGGCTGCACAGAGTTGGACACGACTGAAGCAACTTAGCAGCAGCAGCAGAGCAAGAGAGCCTTGCATATTGGTAGGGTAAGACGTAGTTCTTGGCCGCCTTTGGGTCTAAAGAACATGCATCTACATAAACCTCCTCTCTGCCTGCCCCTCACACCTCACATAAGAACACTTAGGGCTGGCTAGAAAGACAATGGATAATCTAGGTCTGATCATCCTACACAGTCACAATCCAGTGAACCACAGATGAAGCAGTTGTTCTTTCTTTACCTCCATCCCAGGGTTAGAGTAGTGGTATCCAGGAGTGGGGGAGGAAGAAACAGACTAAACACTCAGCTATTTGAAGCCCACAATGTACTTAACACAGAGAGACTCCTTCCCCACCAAATACCTTAACAGCACTATCAGCAAAGAGACTTCTATTTCCTCTCTGGGTCCCACTTGGGGAAGGTTAAAAAGATCAGGAATAGGAAGGCATAAGCATTAGCAATAATCCAATAATCTACCTATAATCTACCAGATCTTAGGGTGAGCCTTGATGGCATTCTGGTTGACAGGATGACTGAGAAAGGGGTCCTAGAACTTTACAGCCAAAATAAAATATGAAGTGTTGGTTGTAAGTAAAACAATCAAATTAGAGGAAAGGAGGAAAAAAAAAAGGTTGCTCTTCAGAAATTCCTAAAAGAAAAAAAAAATTTTTTTAACAGGTGAAAAATAAGTTATTTTGATCTTTTTATATATTTCTCCTATGAGATGTGAATGAACAGATTCTTAAACCAGAGTCTGGCTTAAGATCCCTGAAAAATAAAACAATGGGGATGCTCAGACCTGTGCATTTGAACTGAATATCTTTTCTTCACATTCAGCTACTACTTTTATGCCAATACTGCAAGCTAACAGTAGAGTGGTGGCCAAAAGGACACTGTTAGTATTGGCCAAACTCAACATTGATTCAACTATGACAGATCTACCGCTTTAAAAAAAATGGGAATAATAGCTTCTTTCATGCCTTTTTTCAGGAGATCTCAAATTTGCCCCCAGATGAAGAGAGTTCCCGAGTCTTCACTTGGCTGAACCTTATACCTAGCCTTAGGAGATAGAGTTGACGCTCAAAGGAGGAGAAGGAGAGGGAAGGAACAACATCTTCCAACAAAGCAACAAAGAAAGTAAGGAGAACAAACAGACAGAACTCAAGGAGGAACAGGCAATGCAGGGGAGCAATCAGAAACAAGATTACTGTCTTTAAAGTTTAATAGCTTTTCAACATTAAAAAAGTGATGAAATTAAAGGGCACACAGCTAGTTTTGGAGTAGGGAATTTGCCCCAGCTTTTCTTTCCTTAGCTCAAAGGTCAAAGGGAAAAACCAAAAGGAAAAGATAACCACGACTGGTTAAAGTGAACGCCACGTGCTCTCTTGTGGTCATTTTAGCAAATCATGCATCATAATAGACTGTCACTCACTGCCCAGAGTAGGAGATGAAACAGCAGCAGCAACAGAAGTGGTGGGGGGAGATCTGACTGGTGCAACTGTTACATAGGATGAGCTAGGAACATGTTTTACATCAAGGTGTTGACCCATGGTCTGGCGCTTTAGGACTCCCTTAAAAGAGGCTCCCGTCTGGAATGTGTTAATTACGTCGATCTGCAAAGAATCAGAAAGTGAGACAGCTTTGCTCCATAGTCAGAGAGAAGTGGGAAAAGAGGAAGGGAGGGGTCAAGAGGGTTAGGGGAGGGGATGGAAAGAGCTGGGGAAAGGGGACAGGAGATGGGAAGCCAGAGAGAATCCCTCACACACAAAACAACCGGTCAGGAGAAGGGGGGAAAAACGTTAATTGCACATCACACTTCATTTAAGGAACAGTTTGCCATGGAGTCTAAATACCCAGCCAGCATCTAGTCTTCCTTTTCCTTTTAGCCTATGATGGACATTTTAGGTGTGCCGGTGTCCAAAAATATCTAAAATTTAAAGGGACTTTTCCCACTCATGACTCCTGATAGAGAGTGACAGCTTATTCACTGCTTTGACCCATACTCTTAAAAAAATTAAGCATGCAATTTAAGATAGCAGGCAAAGTATATATTACTGAGTTTTTAGGCTCAGGGACTCTAAACCAATTAAATTGATTACTTATTATTGCAGATTTTCCAGGAAAACAACTTATGTGTTTAAACGGAGGCAGTGTAGTAGCCCATACACAAGTGGCCATGGGGGAAAGGCTCCTGGAACCCACAATTGCTGGGCTCACCCTCTTCTGGGTTACTCTCTGAGATACCCTTTCCTTGGGTGGGAGTGGACAAGGCCTCTGAAGGCTGAGCTTAGGAGCCCAGTGGCCAGGCCCTTAGAGAGACGGCCTCTAGCAGCAGTCGCGTCCCTGGAATCGCCGGCACAAGGGCAGTCAAGAGCTCAGAAGGTTGATGGGCCCCGGAGGAGGAGCTGGCTGGGGAGTGGTGGCGGTGCTCACCAGCTGCGGGTCTAGCCCTGCACAAACTGCCTCTGATTTTCAGGGTCCGACTCCTCAGAGACAGAGGCAATGAAGGCCATTTGTCTTCTGACAGTGGCCCTGGTGTGAGGCCTCGGTAACCTACCACCCTCATCCCTGACTTCTGACTAACAAGGAACGAATCAAAAAGAATTCCCTTACCCTTCAGGATCTGGTAGAATCACCTTAAAAATGCCCAAATGCCTAACACAACGGGTCAGTCTACCAGGGAGGTGGGAGAGGCACTGACCCCACTCATCTAACCTCACTTCCCCAGGTGAGAAGGTGGGAGAGCAGGGACCTTGCGAGTCAGACAGTTGCTCTTATTTATAAAGCTTCCTGAGAAGCCATGAAATGTTTAGGGCTAGTTTCTGGATTCAGACCAGGTTTGAGCTAAAATACCACTCCTATCACATGATACAGTCCTCACTTCCAAGGGATGGAGGAGCCTAATGCTGTGGGAGAAAAAGGTCTGCATGTGGGAAGGGCTCAGCCACACGAAGAAGGAGCTGGAGAGTCACTCCTCTGACTTGTTAAGGCCACAGGGTCCCAACCTCCCGATGAAGCTGGAAGTTTAGCAAGATTCAAGCCCTCGAGTTTCCCAAACTTCTGCTTTCTGGTGCTTTTAGGTCTCCCAAAGCTACAGAGACCAGGACGAGACAGAGCCTGGCACTTCCCATGTCAGGTGCTGCAAGGAGAAGGACAAGGACCGGCTCTGATGAGTGAAGGGCTGATGCCAGGACAGGGCTTTAGGATCCAGGGTGAAGGTTAGCACAGTCAGCCGCAGCTGCTGGGGAATCAGGGGTGATGGCCCAGACTGCTCATCACGGCATCTTTATCAGGTAGCCTTTGTTGCCCAGTTCAGGCTTTAATGTCATTCTGGTCCAAGTACCTCTTGCTCCAACAGAGAAAGGTAGTATACCTAAAGCTATGTAGGCAGCAAAACCAGAGAGGTATAGAGTCGAGGGGATGGACATTGGTAGTGGAGGGGAGGGAAGATCCATGAGTCTCAGCCCCAGGAGAGAAGACTGGGAAGGAGCCACGAGACACTGGAACGAGGGGATCCTGGCTAGGAAAAAATGTACATAGTAGAAGAGGAGGCAGATGATCCTGAAGGGAAGAAAAGAAGACAGGTTATTCTGAAAAGAGCAGGGCTGCAGGGAAGCGCCGAGCCCTCAGAGACGGGAGCCACAGGCTCCGAGCTCTCAGGGCGCGGGGTGCCCTGGCTGGGGGTGCACGTGCAGTCTGGGGGGGGCTCCTGTGGAAACTCTGCAAGTGCTGAGGTGGCTTTTGCAGGTCCCTGGGGTCTCCCTCTGCGAGGAGGAGCTCAAGACAGGGGAAAGTGGCCCCAGGATTTCCCTCCCTAGCCCTGGTTTCCCATTTTCATCTGTTGTCTGTCTACAGGAGACCAATTCCCAGCTGCTACAGGAGTCCTCCCTTATCTGCAGGGGATAAATCCTAAGACCCCCAGTGGATGCTTGAAATTGCAGATAGTGTTAAATCCTGTATATACTGTGTTTTTTCCTAGACTAATGGGCAGGTAGCTGATATGGTGAGGATGTGATAGGCAATGGAATGATTTACATACAGGGAAGGATAGAGTGGGACAGTATGAGACTTCATCAGCTACTCAGAATGGCATAAAATGGAAAACTTACGAGTTATTTATTTATGGTAGTTTTCATTTAATATTTTCAGATTGTGGGTGACCACAGGTAACTGAAACCAAGGAAAGCAAGGTCATGGATAAGGGGAGATCCCTGTATTTACCATAGAATATTCTTTTCACCTTTCTTCCCTGGAAAGTGGTGGACTTGACGAAGGAACCTTTGAAACTTTTGCAGTGCTATGTTTAGAGGGTGAAATTTACTTCTGGGATCTCTAGCCAATCTGCAGAGAGGGATAGGTGTTCTCTGGAGAACACCTTTGAGAACTTGGGGATTTACAGTTACCTGAGACAGGAAATTTTAGGACTAACACAATAGAGGTATGTGAGGTAAGAACAGGGAAGTGTTAAGATTATCAGTATCTAGACCAGGCCATTAACCCAGGAAAAGGCAGCTATAGTTGCTGCATGAAAGGTGGGGAGAGAAAGTTACTGTAGGGCTAGAGGCAAGGAGCTTAAGGCAGCAGGAGCAGCGTCTATTCCATTTCAGAGAGCGCAGGAAGGGAAATGGTGTGAAGAAATTATAGCCTCTTCTTTTCTGGGGAGAAAATCTGAACCTGCAAAAGACACTCAGGCACTGAGAGACTACTGTTACTTATATACACTTAGCAATAACATTCCCCATCATGGTCTTACATTTTGAGTGGGGAAGACATAAAAGAGTGAGTTTCTTTTACAAAGATCCTCCAGATAACATCTGCATTCCCTTAACAGCTGCTTGAGGATGTACAGCAAATGTCTGCTGGGGATGATGGTACAGAGATACCGTCTGAACCCTTTCTTCTGCAGGGTCAGGAAAGACTCTGAACATTTCCCACTGGAGGTTAGGCTTACTGCTTCCAAGAGACTGTAAGCGGGAAGCTTGCCTACCCGTGAAGGGTGGGAAGTGGCCTTCAGACAAGCTCAAAGCTAGAGGACCATGCTGGCAGCTGGGGTCCTGTGTTCTGGGCTCTCCACAATCAGTGTCCTCTCAGAGGAGCCCAAACTGCCGCCTCTGCCACTGTCTATCTTGAAGCAAGGGAGCTTGGGCTACCCACCAATGAGAGGGCCTTAAGAAGGGTAGAGACACTGGCCATCAAGAACTACTCCCCTCCCGACACCTCCCAGTAAAGACGGAGGGGATTCCTCCTCCAGGGCCAGGACAGGCCACCATCACCATACCTGAGTCTGGATACGGTTCAGGCCCCGGAACCAGAGGATCTGGCCTCTGCGCAGCTCCATCTCTGCGTGGTCAATCTCGTCCAGCCCCTCGGCATCCTTGGTGATCTCCTCTTTGGTGGTGCCATGTCCAGCCTCCTTCAGGAACTTCAGGGATTGGGTAGGTATCGTGGAAATGACCTGAGAGCAGGTGCAGCAAAAGGGGAGACACCAGGATCAGGCTGCAAAGAGCTGTCACTCGGCTGCGTGGGCCAGGCCCTGGGCAAGTCACGCTTGGCCCCAGCACCCCTCTCCCTGGCAGGGAGAACAGAGGGAAAAGGACCAGTCCACCTGGGCCAGCATCTGCCAGGGGCTGACCAGATGTCTGCACTTGCAGACGTATGAAGGAGAACTTAAATTCTAGCATCTGACCAGCGTCTGCCTTGGGACATATTTTATTCTCCTCTTCCTGTCTCAGTTCTCTCTTTCCATTTTGCTGTCTGTCTCTTAAGGGAATGCGAGGTACATAGTGGGAAGGGACAGAGACAAGAATCTGGGGCAAAACACGGCTGGGGACAAGACGGTCACAATGTATGTGTGAGCACAAAGGGGAAGGAAGGCTGCTGGAGGGGAGTCATCCTCTTCTCAGTTTCCATATGCTAAGTCATTGCTCTTTTATAAAACTACAGTGAGAGGACCCTGAAGGCTTTCCTGGGCTTTGGGTGAGGAAGTGGATGGGCCAGCCCACAGAAGAAGGGACATATGAGTATTCTCAGAGGAAATGGAGCAGGAGCTTGGGCTTGCAATTCAAAATGAGTCACTCAGTAAGCTCAGTGCCTGGCAGTCAGTTCCCCTTTACAAACAAGAGGAGCAGCAAGCAGGGCTCAGTTGGGGGCGGGGGACCGTGTGGGCAGTCCTACGTGGAGTCAGATGCTGGAAATACAATGGCCACATGCTGCTTTCGGATGCTGGAAGAAGCTGTTGTGATACAGAAGGAAGGCTTCAAGGCCACATGGCCACATGTGAAACTCGATCCAGGTGAGTGTTTCAAACAGTACATGAAACAAGAAAGCTTTAGGGACCCACCGGTAAACAAACAGCAAACAGAGCAGGTTGGAGGGACGTGTGTTAGGAACTGGGATAGGGATTAATCAGGGAGGTAACTCGGAGGTATGAAGAAATGACCAGCAGGTCTATGGGAGAAAGCCTGCAGTCCCAGGGAGGAATCTTTGGGGCCAGTTAAGGAAAGACTCCATTACTCAGGTGGCTGGGCACCAATCAATGGAGACCTGGGGTCTGCAAAGCAGAAGCATAGCCCAGGGCAGAATTGATGATGGGGGGGAGTTGTAAAGTGGTACTAGGGAAGGAATCAAACTCTTACCAAACCCTATTATATTATTATAATGTTAATAGCTAACATTTATTGAGTATTTACAAGGTACTAGACATTTGTCTAAGTCATTTCTATATTGAAAGTGGGTTGCTGATTAAGAATGATTCACAATGGCCTTGCTATCCTGAGTTGAGGAAACTGAGGCAGAGCTGCTAAGAAACTTACTATGATGCAGTTTGTAAAAAACAACCAGGATTCAAACCAAGGTAGTCAGTTGCAAAGTCTGGGCTTTGAACCATACACTATACTGCTTCTCTAGAGACCGCGTGAATCTGAATTTGTCTTAGGTGATGGTCAGGCGTTCGTCCTGGATAAGGCAATGGTGAGAGACAGCAGGGGCAAGGGAGTCCTGCGGCGTTGCGCAGAGCACTCGACCAGACTGCAGCTTCACTGCAGACATGGGCTTTGTAAACGCTTCTGCTTCTAAGACCCTGACTTTTTTCTTTTTCTTTTAGCAAAATTAGCACTGAAAATTTCCACTTCCATCTCAGAGAAGCTAAGGGATTTGTCTGTCTCCAGGCATGATTAGAGAAGAGATTGGAAGCCTCTGAAGTGGTGGGCACTAATCATTCTGCTTTGGAATCCTGCAAGATGGAAAGAACCTGAAAACCTGGTGGCAGAGGGAACAGGGAAGCAGAATATGAAGGTTTTGAGCTGGGAGTCTCCAAAGTTGCTTGTTCCATCTCATCTAGGGGAGGGAAGGTCTGCCGGCTGTGTGACCGCGGGAAGGGTGTATCCGTGCTCACCTGGCCCCACAACAGCTCTCCAATACCAATGAAGAGACACCAGAACCACTGGGACAGGGTGAGCTTCGTACAACTGAAGGGTTTGCCCCCAAATTCCACGATGATAATCTAGAACAGACGAAGAGGAAGCCTGTGACTGGGAGGTGAGTAACAGGTAGCCAGCCCTCTAGTCAAGGCCACCAAAGCCACGTCAGCTCCCTGCCCCAAGATCCCTGCGGTGCAAACCCTGGTATGCTTGTTGGGGAAGGAGAAAGAAGAGACCCAGATGGGGAGAAGGGAAGAGAGACACCAGCAGTCTTTGCAGAGCCTTCCGATGGGGAGTTTCCAGTCACTATGAACACTATTAATTAATGCGAAGGCGCGGGGATCAAGGGGAGCTAAGGGCTTCCTGTGCCTGAAGCCAGTGGGTAAGAAAGAGAAGGCACAGTGATAAAGAAGGGAGACTTAGGAGGAGTGCAAGTAAGGGAGAGGCAGGCGCTCTTGTGCTCATCATCTCTCGCTTGGCATCTGTCTTAGGATGTCTCTGACGGCGGCAAGAAGAAAGGGGCTCGATCCTTTCACCAGCAGGGCAGTCATGCCCTTGACTCCAGTCCCACAGAAGGAATCCACATCAGGCTTATCTGTCAACTACACGTGGCACCATGCCATTTCTTCTCCTTTACTCTGAACCATGTAGCATTTTGTACCACGAGCCCTTTCAGGAACAAAGTGGCAGGGCCAGGGAGATGCCTACTTGGCACCTTCATGCACATTTCAAGTGCGCCAGCATGTGGCATGAAAGGGTCAGAAGGCAGTGACCTTCCTCCTGGTCACTATGTTAAATTTCTGTGTTCTAGAAAGTTAAGGAAAGAATTCTATAAATTTTATTTTATTCACTACCAACATGCTGCCGTGCACTGGAGCACTCAACACAGAGGGATCCAATTCTAGAGAAATGAGCAAATGAGAACCAGCTGGGAACCCCAAAGTGTTCAACCCACAGCCTAAGTCCCTAGCCCTCCCCTACTCCTCTTCTGGGCACTCAGGGAATCCTGGCTTCCAGCATCTGTCCTTTATCTTCCCAGACCTTCTATCCCAATCCTAGCTAGAATCTCACCTGGCTGATGAATGTGCCCAACACCACTGAGCAGAAGATGAGATTGCGGAAGATGCCTGAGAAGACATTCCTCTCTCCGTGGATCTTGCGGGAATTGATTTCGTTGAAGAGCTGCATGAGCACGAAGGTGTTGAAAATAATGGTGTAGTGCTGGCTGGGCGGAGAATGCAGAGGCGCTCTCCTCCCGCTGTCAATGTCAAAGAATTTCTCACCTAGTTGGGAGAGGGGTGCACCGGAAGATTGAGTACACTCTCAGGGAGGGCTGAGGTTGAGTCAAGACAGATGAGTAGGGCCTCACTGGTTGCTTAGGGTTGGTGTCCAATCTAACCGGTCAGTATCCGAGCCACACAGCCATCAAACATTTTCAGTGTTAGCCCTGGTCTCAACATTTCTGACCTTCTCTCTGTTTGTTCCATCAATATTTGCCTTCTTGTGGCATGGCATGGTGGTAAAACTACATGCACTAGAGTCTGGCAGACATAGGTTTGAAACACAGTGCTGCTATTTACTCAATATGTGACCTAAGTTTCAGTTTTATGAGCTAAAGAAAGGTGTCATAAAGTTACCCCTGTGAGATTCTTAAGAGGAGTCAGAGAATGCCATAATGCACCACGGCGTGGCAACAGAGGTGCACTCAGCGCGTGAAGATGCTACCGCCCCGCTGGCTCAGCCTGCTCCCTGCTCCCTTCTCCTCTTGGGCTGGTCTCTGCCCCATCTCCCTCTCGCACTCCACACGCTGCCCCCTACCCCATCCTCCCCGTGGCTCACCAGCAAAAACGAGGAAAAAGATGACAGTGAGCTGATAGACGGCGTGACCCAGGATGTTCTTCATCATGGTGCGCGAGATCAGAGGCTTATTGCGGCCGTAGGGCCGACGCTTCAGCAGAGAGTCTGTAGGAGGCTCTGTGGCCAGGGCCAGCGAGGCAAAGGTGTCCATGATTAGATTAACCCACAACATCTGCACGGCCTTCAGTGGGGAATCCTGGAAGGAAGAAGAACCCCTCCTTTTAGCTTTCCTTGCAGACTACCCCTCAACTCACTTGTCAGCCTCACCTTTGCCCTTGAAAGGGCCTACCTCCTGCTATGCACTTATTAGCTGAATCACACTTAGAAACTTATTTATCCTCTTTGAGCCTTGGGTTCTTCACCTGTAAAATGGGGATAATACCTACTTTGTAAGGTTGTTTTTGAAGATCAGAGAAACTACATATAAGCGCTTATCACACTGGCCAACATGTAAGTGCTGCATTAATGGTAGATAAATGATCATCCCCCCACAGGAGCAGATGGAGACTTGGAAGAGTGAATTCCTGCCCCAACACCCCTGCAGAAACGCTGGGCCTTGCTCCTCAGTCGACACCCTGTAACGTCATACCCTGTGCTCCTTGGCCCCAGCCTCATCCCTCCCGTCTCAGCTCATCCCACCTGAGTGATGCAGGCTCCAGTGAAGGCCACGATTACGGCCACCACGTTGACGGTGAGCTGGAACTGCAGGAACTTGGAGATGCTGTCATAGACATTCCGTCCCCACATCACCGCCTTCACGATGCTGGTGAAGTTGTCATCTGTTAGGATGATGTCAGAGGCCTCCTTTGCCACATCTGTGCCTGCAATACCCTTAGGTAAGAGGGGGAGGAAAACAGTGAGGAACTGGAAAAAGAGCTCATCTGTATTCTGAATCCATTTCCTGTACTCTAAGAAGCCTCAGAAGTCGGCACGGACACCAGAGGGCACGGCAGCCACACCAGCCCTACAGACTAAACCACCGTGTTCTGGTCTTCTCTCCAAAGAGAATGAAGGCAAATGTGCCGCCGCCATGTGTGGAAGAGGCACCGGGCCACGATGCCAGCTCCGCTCTCCTGAACTGAGACTGGAAATCACAGTCACCTTCAGTATTCCCGTCCCCTGTCCCGCCTACTTCTCCATCTTAGAGAGCAATTAGAAGATAGGGGAAAAGTCCTTTCTGTTCTGCCTCCAAGTTAAATATGCAATTTGAATCCTTACGTCCCCACACCTTGAAGTCACTCCACGCTCTCTCCTAGAGGGAGCGGCCCAGCAGCATGGTTCAGATAGCCTGCCCTTATTCAAAATCCTGTTCCTGGGGAACCGCTCAGTGTTTGTGAATAGACATATCAGTGGCTGAAAGCAGTGCTTGAGAAACAGTAGACTTTCTAATCTGGTGGTCAAAGGCTTCAACAAGTGAACTTTGGTTCGTTTTCCGAACTGCTCCTATATAAGCTTTCTGATCAAAACCGACTGATTTATTCACAACTCCCTGAATTCTCTCATTCATTTCGAGAGTTCAGTCTTCTACTTACACCCTTTGTCCAAGCCTGGAACATCCTCTTTCCCCTTCTATTTAAATCCTATCTATCCTTAATGAAGTGAAAGTTGCCCAGTCGTGTCCAACAGCTATCCTTAAGGCCCCTGTAAATTAATTAAGCCCTGCTTGCTAGACAGAGCTGTTCCTAACATCCCCAGACCATACTTCTGTGCCATGTCTTACAACCCCTATAACCTACAGAGGAGCTTGTTTGCGAATCTGACCTGTACCATTAGATTATTTGTTCTGTTTACCTGGAATATTATTTTCCTATCCAGATTGCAACAAATGAATATCTGTTAGATATACTATATAATTCAATTTCCCTTTCAAAAGATTCTCTAATATATCCACACAATTCTGTACTATGCAGTGTTACAAGAAAGGGAAAAAAAAAAGAAAGGATGTCTTTATATATGTACTACTATGGAATAATCTCCAAGTTAGGTTGTTAAATGAAAAACAGCAAGGTGGAAAAAAAAGAGTATATAGTGTGTATACAGATAAATATAGCTAAGTGTCACTTATTTAAGAGAATGGGATATAAACATACTACACATTTGACTGTATTTTTAAAGGAGCAAACAGAAAGATAAACCAAAAATCAAAGATGCTATCTGTGGGATTAAGAAGGAGGCAACAAGCTAGCGGTGACAGGGATGGAGGCAAGACTTCTACAAACAGATCTTGTTCTGTGCATCTTAGTTTAGAATTATGTGACTACGTTATACAGGCATAAAACAAAATTAAGTTTAAAATAAGTAATCTCAAAGATGGAAAAAAAAATCCCAACACATGATATAAATGAACTGGTATAACCAGTTGATAGCCAACCACACAAAATGAAAAGTTCTAAATGACTTTTTGAAAAACACAGTACTTTGATCCTACATCTGTAGTAGGATATACCTACAGAATAAAAAGAACTATAAGAAAAATCTGTAACTACTTTTAGTACAGTAGTTGTATTCTCATTGCTATCTTGAGGCTATTACATATATATTAGGATAAAGCAAATAATAATTATGTTAATACCCTTAGATCAACTTTTCAGCTTAAGAGATAAATGTAAAATCAGGGAAGTAAAATTAGGAAGTTAGTTCTAGAATTCTAAATTTGAATTGGAAATGCCAATACAAATTCATGAAGTATTCTACCTTTAAAACAAAGAAACACAAAACCAAAAAGAGATATAAAAGATGTATTTCCTAGCTTTGTCCACTGAAAAGTTCTAGAAACAATAATTTACTCAGAAGTAAAGAACATTCAGATTGTGTTCTCTAAATACCATTTCTCACTAAAATGAAGCAGAACTCCTTTGAGAAGTGAATGATTCTAAATCTAGGACAAGAAATATGCATGATGGATGTGGAACATCTTATCACGCAAGAGACCATGAATACTATTACAGAGAACTGAGGTTACATCTGAAGTGCTTAGCAGTGTGGAAGAGGCTAATGATGGGTCAGTATGAACATCAAAATAACAACATGGGCAATGGATGGAAACATATCACCTATATTCAAAAGAATATGAGCTTATAATGATATTTTAAAAAACAGACAATTAACTTTTAGTAGTTAGTAAGTTAAAAAAAAATTCATTGGACAACTTTGGAGGATCCCAAAAAATCAACTCATTGTTTTGGGAACTGGTAAATAATGGGAAAAAAAATCAAGCATTTAACCTATCTTTCACAAAGGAGCTGAACCAAAGAGTTGATGAGGGTAATTTTCTTTTTATAGAAGTATTCAAGTTAATAAATAAAGAAAATCAGAACATTGTCATGTTGCAGCCCTTAGTGAAAGATGGGGTGTAGAATCTGACTGCTCATAGAACTAAATACTACTTTATAGGAAATACTAAATACAAAGTAGTAGGCAATACAAGGGCACGTTAAAGGACATAGGGATATAATCAACAAAATCCATGACGTGGTATATCCTACATAGAAAAACAAATTGTTTCCTTCAAAATTAAATAGCTAGAAAAAAAGATGGAAGGCCTTGTGCAGAAAAGAATTAACATAGCATGGTTGAGGCTGCTATCTTGAGAAAGGTCTGTTTGCAAGGTTGGCCCTTGGTTAGCATCTGGGAACTTGGCTCTCAGAATGTTCTCAGTCAACATTAACTGAAAATTAATTAGTGATTCACTAATTTTTCTTATTTTCCATTGAAAAGCTGCTTCCGTCTAGGAGTCTGGAATCTTAGCATATGCTGGGTTGACGGTGCTTATGTGACCAACCTTAATAAAACTCTAGGGTGCCAAGTCTCTTATGGGTTTCTCTGGGCAGAAACCTCACATGTATCGCTACATTGTCATTGCTAGGGAAAGCAGGTGCTTTTTTTGACCCCCTCACAACAGGGGGAGATCATAAGAAAGCCTGCGTGTGACTGCAGACCCTGTCTGTGACTGTTTCACTAGATTCTTAGTATACCAGTGGATTAAACCTTAGCCATGAGTACAGTTATAGGCCAAGTCCCCTGAGTCCTTCCAGCAAATCCACAAATGTAAAGGGTGGTCTTGGGAACCCCTGACACATAGATCCTATGGGGTCAGTGGTTCTCAAACTTTAGGATGCGTGAGAATTACCCAGAGGGCCTGTTCAAACACAGACTGCTGGGCCCCCACTACAGGGTTTCTGATTCAGGAGGTCTGGGGTGAGGCCTGAAATCTGCATTTCTGTAGGTTTCCAGGCACAGGTGGAACAGCACACTTTAGGAACTACTATTATACATTTATACATTTAAGATACCTATCAACCAACCACAGTGTATGGATCTTGTTTGGATTCTGATTTGGACAAATAATTTAGAAAAACAAAAAACTTATGAAGAGAAATGTGAACATTGACTAGATATCTAGTGATAGCAAGGAATCAATATTGTTGTGAGACAAAGGTATATGATTCTTTTAAATATATTTTATTGAGACATATTTCTCTTCCAGAGACACATACTGGATGAAATGATATAATATCTTGGAAATGTTTCAGAGTAATCCAGCTGAAGAAGGGGAAATGTGTATGTGTGGGCCAAAACAATAAACTATTCTATTTTTGTATGTTCTTGAAATTCCCTAGGATAAAAACTTTAAAATTTATTTTCTGGGTTTTAAAGACAGCACCCTAAAGATCGAGTTCTGCTTGAATCACCTTCTACTGCTTAAAAATCACCAACAGTTCAAAATGTATGGGAAGCTTACAGTCATTACCTACTTGAATGTGAGAATGTACTTTGCTATCTGAGGGCTTCTAAATATCCCTGAGCATTAGAATCAACAAGTGCACCTGTTAAGAAGAACTTAAAGATTTCTGTTTGGGCTCTAAAATCACTGTAGATGGTGACTGCAGCCACGAAATTAAAAGAGGCTTGCTCCTTGAAAGAAAAGCTATGACCAACCTAGACAACATATTAAAACACACAGACATTACTTGGCCAACAAAGGTCCGTCTAGTCAAGGCTATGGTTTTTCCAGTGGTCATGTATGGATGTGAGACTGGACCATAAAGAAAACTGAGCGCCAAAGAATTAATGCTTTCAAATTGTGGTGTTGGAGAAGACTTGAGAGTCCCCTGGACTGCAAGGAGATCAAACAAATCCATCCTAAAGATCAACCCTGAATATTCACTGGAAGGGCTGATGCTGAAGGTGAAGCTCCAATACTGTGGCCACCTGATGCGAGGAGCTGACTCACTGGAAAAGACCCTGATGCTAGAAAGATTGAAGGCAGGAGGAGATGAGGATGACAGAGGATGAGATGATTGGATGGCATCACTGACTCAACGGACATGAGTTTGAGCAAACTCCAGAAGGTGGTGATGGACAGGGAAGCCTGGTGTGCTGCAGTCCATGGGGTTGCAAAGAGTAGCACATAACTTAGCAACTGAACAACAACAAACGTTCTGGGACCTGGCCCAGATGCTATCGCATCAAGATAGCTGACTGTCAGACCTTGAAATATGTGATTTTAAATGAACTTTCTAAGTGATTCTGATGCTCCTGGCCTCATAAGCAGAGTGATGAACAGTGCTAACTACAGAATACACACTTTCCATATGGAATGTGAATTTTCTATAGTGTGCCTAGGCGGGCAATATTATCACATTCATGGGTAAGTTTCAGTTTGTCTTATTTTCCTGGGTAATGAAACCTCATGATTTCCCTGTCTTCATACTTCATGAGCCCCTCATTATATATATTATTATTGGGCAGGCAGGTAGGTGAGATGGAGTTAGAGAAAAGAGCACAAAGTGGGATGCGAAGGTCCAAGAAGCAGAAGGATGTCAGAGCCTGTCTGGGCTTCCCGCTGGCAGAGGCAGCTTGCAGTCAGAGAGAGATGCTATGCTGAGCTGCTTACCATGGCAAAACCAACATCTGCCTTCTTCAGAGCTGGCCCGTCATTGGTGCCGTCACCGGTGACAGCCACCACCTGCCGCTGGTCGCCGACAGTGCTGTCAATGATGCCTGGGGAGACAGGTGCACCGCAGTGAGGTAGGGGGCCGCTTTCCCACAAAAGATGCTTTTCTGGCCTTCCTCTCTAATCCCTGTCACCACCTCCGTTTTTACACTCTTTCCTTCTTTTTTCCCTATGCTGGAGGTTTTATAGAGTCACCAAATGGCAGTAAATTGTTTCACAGGTAGCAATCTAAGCTAAGAAAGTCTAACCTCGTCAGATATCCTGTCTGGTACATCAAGACAGCTATCATGCAGTCGAAAAAGCACTGCATGATTTGAAGGCAGAGACCCAGAGGTTGAACAATAACATTTCCATTTACCAGTTGGGCAATTTGAATAAGTTACGTGTTGTCTCAGCCTCAAACTTTCTTTTTTGCAGAATGGGAAGAGCTTAACCTGTATTGCCTAATTCCCAGTACTATCGACAAACAAGATATGATAATGTTTAAAAATGACTTCATCATATAGCTTATACTCACCAGGTGCTCAGATGTTTGCTAACCTGCATGTTCTTCCCATGAGCTGGGAAGCTCTCCTAGGCCTCCCTATTCAGGACGAGAGAGTTGCTTTGGCTTCGGTTCTTTATCTGTGCTTGCCCTGGTCTGCCTTCCTCTATCCCAGGCACCTGCTCAGGAGCCGACCTCACCTTTCACCAGCGTGTGCTTGTCAGTGGGGGAAGACCGCGCCAGCACTCGGAGCTTAGGCCAGATCTTGTCCAGCTTTTCCTGCTCTACCTGCAACAGCAGACACACCTGGGTCAGTCAAGCTCAGAGCAGCTGCCAGGAAAGTCTCCACACGTGCCAAGCTCCTGGGGCAGCTGGTGTCCCATGGCCCCCCGGGAGAGTGACCCTGGCCTCCAGCGGAGGCGAGGCAGCCAGCTTGGCTCCGAGGGCGGGTCCACAGATGCTGACCATTCAGGCCCTGCTTGTCTGCTTTTCCTCCCAACTCCCTCCCTGGGAGCCAACCCCTAGTTTTGAGACCCTGACGGAAGGCAGGACCCTTCACTGTTGGCTGAAGTAGTGCCTCTGAGGTCTCAGCTTCAGTTGCTGAGGCTCAGCTTCAGGAGCTGTGGCCTTCCCACACCCAGATCATACCCTGTCACCGATCCGAGCCCCTGCCAGTCACAGGGCAGTGACACGGGAGGGGTGGGGTAGAGGAAAATCGGGACAAAGGCATCCCACGACTGGAGAAAATGGAGAGGTATGAGAAGTGAGTCTCAAAAGATAGCTTGTGAATGAAAACAGTGAGAAGAAAAAATTCCCAATTTTACTGTCTGAGCAGCTTTGGTAAAAGGCACGTCTCACTATGAATAGATTTTAATTTAAAAACCATCTACTTTCTCCCACCTGTCCTGGATGCCTTACACACGCATCAGCCCTCCCCTGATGAAGGAGGCTCTGATTCCCACCACCTAAAGCTCACCTCGCCCTTCTCATTTCGGATGAGGCGATTGAATTCTTTGCCTTCTAAGCACAGAAAGTCGTCCCCAGGTGTCACGATGCCACACTTGGTGGCGATGGCACGGGCTGTGTTGATGTTGTCCCCCGTCACCATCCTGACAGTGATGCCAGCTCGTTTGCATTTGGCAATAGCTTCTGGCACCTGCGGAGGGTGAAGCAAGTGGAAAGGAGAAGGTGGGGGTGGTGAGGCCTGGTCACTGGCTTCTGTTCAGCTGTCCTTTCACTGTGGACAGGAGAGAGGCACCCTGGAAGTAGAACCGTGGGGTCCAGGCCGAGTCTGGTCAGTTCTATATTGCTTGGTGCCACCTTACTTCTGACCTACCCATGAAACTCACATTTGAATTTGCCTTATTGCTTCCCTGGTGGCTCAGATGGTAAAGCGTCTGCCTGCAATGCGGGAGACCCGGGTTCAATCCCTGGGTTGGGAAGATCTCCTGGAGAAGGAAATGGCAGCCCACTCCAGTATTCTTGCCTGGAGAATCCCACGGATGGAGGAGCCTGGTAGGCTACAGTCCATGGAGTCGCAAAGAGTCGGACACGACTGAGCAACTTCACTTTCTTTCACTTTATTGCACCATGAGTTGAGGGCTTCCCAGGTGGCACCAGTGGTAAGGAACCCGCCTGCCAATTCAGGAGACATAAGGTTTGATCCCTGGGTCGGGAAGATCCCCTGGAGGAGAGCATGGCAACCCACTCTAGTATTCTTGCCTGGAGAATCCCATGGACAGAGGAGCCTGGCGGGCTACAGTCCATGGGGTTGCAGCGTCAGACACAACTGAGTGACTTGGCATGAAGGCATGCACCACGAGAAGAAGGGGAAATCTGCTTCAGGAGCCAGGTGTAAAAGCTTATTCTCTCACTTACAATCTAGATTTCTTAGCAGGGCATGCTAGACCTTTTGAGATTTTGCCTCTGCCTTCCTTTCCAGCAGAAGTCTTCCACCCCTGGCACATACTCCAACCATATCAGTTCTTTTAAGTTTCCCAGCTGCATGACACCCCGTCATGCCTCCAACAGTGGAGAGTACTGCTGAGCTACTCTACGGGTGCCTGACAAGAACGTGTTGATTGAAAGGACGTGACTAGGGCCAAAGCTGGAGTCTCAATTAATTCCATCTCCTCACTATTCTTGAGTGCCAAACTGTTCTTATTAGCCCAGTAAAACCTACGTTTCTCACCCCTCAGACGGCATGACCCACAGGCAGCGGGATTGCCACTTTTCATTAGTTCAGTACGCTACAGTAGTTCTGTGAAGCAGGAAGCACAGAAACATCTATCCCAGCAAATGAGAAGCAGTTAGGTGACTTGCCTAAGTTTCCTAAGTCACAGCTAGAAACGGAGCTGGTACTGCAGTTCCTGTAACTCCTGTGTGGCTGCTCATTAGGTCACAGCAGGCCAGTGCAGGGGCCGCGGCCACTGGCAGCCTCCCCTTCATGCTTCCCAGCCCCATTCCCTAGTCAAAGCCTCACCTCCGGGCGGACAGGGTCCTCGATGCCCACCACTGCGATACAGGTCAGTTCAGTGAGGATCTCGCTCTCATTGTCCCATGGGGGCTCTCCATCATTGAAATCCCGGTAAGCGATGCAGAGAGTCCGCAGTCCCTCACAGGCCATGGGCTCAATGACGGTGCGGACCATCTCATCTCGGTCCTTATTCTTGAATGGCACTGCCTCCCCCTTTTTGTCCAGGATTCGATTACACCTGGGAAGGTGCACAGTCAGAACGCAGCACCCCACCTCCCGCCCAGTGTGCTTTGACACGTTACAGACACCCTGACCACTCCGCATGACTCCTAAAGACACTACTATGTGGCCGTCAATCTCCACTTATCACCCAAAGCGGAGCCCCTGTATCCAAGGTGGGGTGGCTGATAGGTGGGCAGAGCGTATCGCTCTTCCCCATTGTCTGCGCCTATTCATCTGGGAACGCAACACCAAGTCATTCGTGGGTCGCCTGCTCTTTTGAGCTTCTCAATGGTAGAGAGACCTTCTCAATCCCCAGTATATAGAGGGCTCAGGGCAGAGGGTGTGGGCAATGACAAAGTGTCATCCATGCTGGGGCTAAACCCATGCTGGGGCACTGGGTTTTAGCTACTGGCCCTGTATCCACACAGGTCAACTTTAATACCCTATGGACCATCTGGCCACTTTGATTACGCAACTTCCTGTGATCAGAACTGAGAATGAAAAGGAAAAGGAAGACAGAACTAACATTTCTAGTGCTTACTATGTGCAAGGCATTTTTCATACACTGAATCATTTAACCCAGTGATTAAATGTAGGATACGTGGATGTCGTCTCTTCAGAATAGGAAAAGGAAGCATGGATTGCCTAGGTCTGAATCCTGCCTGTACCACTACCCGCTGTGTCACCTCTCGCAAGTTACTGAACTTCACTACACCTGTCTCCTCATCTGTAAAACAGGGACAACGACAGCCTCTGCCTCCCTGAGTTGTGAAGTGTAAGTATAGTATCCAAAGCACACAACCGCTGGGCCGGAGCCAAGCTTAGGTTTTGTCACGGGGGGCAGGGCCCGCTGCTACCCGGTGGCTCAGCGCGGGGCTGACAGCCAGACCTCCCTGCGGGGCGACGCCGGGGCGGCCGCTGGGGGGCTCACTTGCGCAGGATGATCTCGGAGGCGCCCTTGCTGTACATGCGGAAGCCGCCGCCCGGCCTCTCAACGACCGTGCTCATGGACTTGCGCGCCGAGTTGAAGGTGTACACCTTGCAGAGCTTCTCCTCCGGCACCTCGCTGCGCACGGCGTGGTAATCCTGCTTCAGGTCCGCCACGAAGCCCAGCAGGGCGCACTCGGTCTTGTTCCCCACCTGCCGGGGCAGGCCGCCCTCCTTCTCGGGAGGCTGCAGAGAAACGCACCGGCGGGAGGGCTGGGCGAGGGCCAGCCGGGGACGGGCTGCGAGGGGAAGGGCTCCCTCCAGAGGCTTTCGCACGTGCGCCCGGGGCCCACGGGGGCGTGGGCCATGGCCCTGGTGACGTGGCCCCTGAGCCCTGAGCCACCCAGGGCCTGGGGTCTTTTTAGCCGCCATGGGGCTGGTGCTGCTGGTGCCTCTAACACTCTTGCCTGGCTTCCAGGAGCTAAGTGATTTATTCGTGATAAGCTCAATTCTGGTACCAGCATGAGGCCTCTTTTTACAGATAGTGCCTTTTAGAGATAATGTGGTGATTTCACAGCCACAGATTCCTACCTGCCTCACACCCCCACCCCATCTCCCAATCTACTTTCACAGATTATTTCCTAGTCTCACCCCCAACACGTTCACTGGGGACTGGGAAATGGGAAATGGGATGGCAATTCAGGCAGAATAAACAAGAGGAAATCAATGGTTCCTTCCAACTACCCACTTTAACTGTCCTGGCAAAAGAAGAGCTTACCAGAATCTTAGAGGTGTAGGCACTGTTGATGGAAATACCATTGACAATCAGGTCCAGGACCTTGGGCACAAGGTCCTCAGGGTTTGGGATCTGATGGTAACGAGTGTCTCCAACATAGGCCTGCACCACGGTCATGCGGTTCATGGTCAGCGTGCCCGTCTTATCAGAGCAAATGGCTGTGGCATTGCCCATGGTTTCACAAGCATCCAAGTGCCGCACCAGATTATTGTCTTTCATCATTTTCTACAAAGGAGAATAGATAAGACTTGAGAGGGGACCAACTGAGCTTTCCAAAATATAGGTCAAAGGCTATTTCCTAGCCAGCAACTCTCCACATTTCATTTTCTGCTCCCATACAAAAATGCAAGATATCATTTTTGTAAATCCTCTTAAGATGCTACTGGGTTAGGTAAACATTGATGCAATTGATCCAGGTGGTCCTTCCAAAGTGCCAGTGGCTTGTGCTCCTGGAAGGCATCCCCAAGAGTTTACAAAGACAAAGTGGCCATCCTTTTACCAGAGCTACTTGGGGCCCTTCCCCCTGGTCTGTGTTCTGAAAGAGCAGTCTCACCCCGTCTCACCTTCACAGAGTAAGCCAGTGAGATGGTGACGGCCAGGGGCAGCCCCTCGGGCACAGCCACTACCAGCACTGTGACGCCAATGATGAAGAACTTGACAAAGTACTGGATGTAGATGGGGGTACACTCGGCCAGCCATGGTCTGCCCTGGATCACAAAGTTGTCGATCACGAAGTACAGAATCAGGATGAGAACTGTGATTGCAGACATGATCAGACCTGTCCAGGAAACAAATCACGTGAACCCAGGCTTGAGGGCATTCCTAGGGCTCTAAGCAGAGACAGATATCTATCTCGTCATACCCCAAGGCCCTAGCTATTCTCTGGTATTTGTACATTATGGTGCAGGCAAAAGACATGGTTTTGCATTCTAAAGACATGGGTACTAGTTTCAGTGCTGTACCAACTTGACTCGTGGCTTTGGACTGGTCTTGACCCCTCTCTGAGCCTATTTCCTCATTTATAAATAAGGGGGTTGGTCTAGTTTTCCAAAAACAGCATTTTAAGATTCTATCTCAGAGCTACTATCTTCCCACAAATCATAATGTAGTGACTACTGTTAACTCTTTCCTAGTAGTTTATTGACTTCTCTAGTAGACTGAGAATGTCAGGGAATTCACAACGTGTTCACAGTGATGCCCTATGGGTGTTAGCACAACACCCACATAACTAATCCTTAGAAGAGTGCCTCCCAGCCTTTCTCCTGACGTGGCACAGACAGAAGATGACAGCAATGCAACTGTTAGGGTAGTGCTTACTATGAGCCAGGTGAGCACTTTAAGGTAGTAACTCATTAATCCTCACAACAACCCTGCGAGACAAGCTACTACTATGATCCTCTTTTATGAGGCAATGAGGGCACACCAGCGGGGACCAAGCATCCTGGTGTGCCTGAGGCTGAGCAAGGTCCTGGGCTGTGGGGCTTTCAGTGCAGGAACTGAGAAGTCAAGCAAACTGTGACAGCTGCTCATCCTACACATCCTACAATGGAAGAATAAGCTCTGGGTCAGAAAACAACTGGCTTGGGGGCTCCAATGGCCTTATGTATTGCCTGGCTACTCTGAGAGCTGGGGGATCAATACTTGGGCACCTATGTCTACCTGTGACACAATATCTGGGAAGAGTTCTGCATTCTGATTCATATCTTTGCTTTTCCTGAGGGCCCAATGATTCAGGGAAATCAGAGCAAGGCTAGAGGTGATTGTATCAGTGAAGGCATATTCAGGGTTAGGACAAGCAAGGCACCGAGCAAGGGTGCAAACTTTAGGAGGCCTTCACTCTCAGGGTAGTGCATTCCCTGCGTTGTTCTGGTCCTTGGCCTGGCTTGATGTGGGATGTCCAGAGACCAGTGACTAGCCCTTAGTGGCCTGTTCTCCCTAAAGAATAAGGTGGGGATTAGCAGCATGACAGGAGGCCTTAGGCAGAAGTGTTTGATGCTTCAAACCTGTGTGCCAGGCTCAATGATTTGATTTCATACTTCAATTTTTCTTGTTCATCTGTTGTCTATTTGCAAGGATTTTCATGGTGGTCAAAATTAGCTGGGTACTGGAACTGAATGACGAGGCCCAGCTGACGTTCTGCAGAAGTCTGTGATGCTCAAAATGCTCTCTGTTTGCACTGTCCAATAGGGAGCCACTGGCTACATGTGGTGACCTGAAACAGGGTAATGTGGCCGAGGAGCTGAATGCCTAAGTGGATCGCCGTAGGTTCTTGCTTCTCACTATGTGCTCAGCAGAGCAGCAGCGCTGGCATCACCTGGGGCTTGTTAGGAACGCAGGTCCCACCCAGGCTGCTTGAATCAGAATCTGCATTGTGACAAGATCCCAGGTAAACAGTACACAGAGAGATGTGTTGGGCTAGACTCTGTAGTGAACACAGAGGTGGGGTCAGGAAGTAAACAGAGGGAGAAGACTGCTTGGAGGGATACCCGCTGAGGGAGCAATCTTCCTTTTGTTGCGTCTTCCAGCTCCGTCCCTCCCCACCCCCCTCCCCACCACCCTCTCCAGAGTCAGGCATGGAGAAGCTGTTTCCTCTCATGATGCACAGGAGCACCTTTAGTGACTCTGCTCTGCAAAGCACCTCTTTAATCACTGTCTTCCTTTGCCTTCCAGTCCTCATTTTGAACTGACTACTCTGTGCCCAGCCATTCCTATGCTAGATAATTGCTCCCAGCCAACAGCAGCCTTCTCTATCCTTCAGGAATTTTCAAGCCAATACTTGAGCAGGTGAGTAGTTATTAAAGTCTTTCTTCTTGCTAATGTTAATCTCCCATTTGTTTTGGGCCTTTAACCCTAAATAGGAAGACATGTCTCTCTGCTAAAGCCAAGGATCCAACAGTCTCAGGGAGGGACACAGATTCTTGAATTGTACCACCCACTTGGAATTTTTGGCTCCTTCCCGCCAGACCTGGTTGGTATAGAAAGGAGGCAATCAAAGCGGCGAGGACCCAGAGTAAGACTGACGAACACACTGAGAAGACTCCACCCTACTCACCAGCTTTCCCAATCTGGACGGCCAGGCGAGTCAGCTTGCCCTGCAGCACGGACTTCTCCTTTTTGGGCAGCTTGGCGGTCTTCTTCTCTTTTTCCTCACTGTCGATCCCCTCCTGGCTGTTGAGTGGCTGGATTTCCAAGGCCACTCCATCTTGGGTCTTTGCTAGGGTGCACACACGAAGAGGACAGGTCAGCAGGCCAGGCAGTAGCCCTGAGTAGTAGGCAAGGGGAAACTAACAAACCCTTCCGTCTGTTTCTGGAACACACCTTGGACCTCTGACATCAGATCTGACCTCCCTCACCCCATGCCAGACAGGGAGCTTGACCTTCTCTTCGGGCCTTGGGAATATGGTATCTGAACAACTGGAGGTGAAATGGAGGGATCTCCTCCTCAGTGGCAGCTTCCTGGCGCTGTCTCAGAGCCCTGAGCCAGCTTTATTCCAGCAAAAGGATTTGTCCTGCCACTGAGTGCTATTATCTACAGCCGTCCTTCTTGGAATTCAGTGCTTAAAATAGTGAATCTTTACTGCAGAAAGGGGCTGAAGCAGAAGGTTGGTAAATGTTCCTAGAGCATAAGGGTCTTGTTGTTTAGTTGCTAAGTCATGTCCAACTCTTTTGTGACCCCATGGACTGTAGCCCACCAGGATCTTCTCTCCATGGGATTTCCCAGGCAAGAATACTAGAGTGGGTTGCCATTTCCTTTTCCAGGAGATCTTCCCAGTGCAGGGATCAAACCTTATGTCTCCTGCATTGGCAGGCAGTTTCTTTACCACAGAGCCACATGGGAAACCCAACAGGGTCTTAGTGGGCTCTTTAAAAGGTTCCCCTCTCTCTCTACGTAGGTATAGACTGTCATGGAAGAAACACAGACCCCAGGCACAGGGTATTTTCCAGTTCCCTCTTATATTAGTTGAACAATAGGGGAAGGAAATCTCCTTTCTCCCCTGATGAAGGTAGGGAGGTACAGAGTACCTTTCCCTAAGGGAAGAAGTTGGTGTGAGGGACTCCCTGGAACAAGAGAAGGCAGGGATAAAGACAGACATCGAAATCCATTTTTGCTTTAAAAAGAAGAGTTAAAGAGAGCTGAAATTTAAGAATTACTTTTGTTGAGTCCTGGTTTTCCAATGTGATGTCTTTATTTTGAAAACCTACTATGATGTGGGTTATGAAAGGAAAAAAGTCTCCAGGAGCTGTCTCAAAAGAGCAGTTCCCACTGGTCGCCAGCACCCCTCCAACTTCACCCTGCAGAGCTCTGCTCCTTTGGTTAGGTGCCCTTCCTGAGAGATTGTCTCTGCTGTCAGACTCACAAATAAGACAGAGACAGGATGTAAACACAGCCACCAAAAGAGAATCACACATCAGATCAGGAAGAAGAAGTCAGACTGTGGAGAGAACAAAGAAGTGGGGAAAGAGCTTACAGACAAAGGGCCGTCTGCACCCAGAGAAGACTAGCTGAGAAGGGTCTGGACGGAAAGACGGCACCAGAAGAGGAAGAAGAGGGTGCAGGGACTGCCCATCCCAGCCCCTCCCCACAAGGACCCTGAAGGCTTCCAACCCAGAGACTAGCGATCCTTGCTCTTTAACTCTGGCCAAGGGCAATGAAGCAAGGAGGTCAGCACCCTGGGAAGAGCAGATCACTGCACAGGCTTCCCGAGAGAAATCTTGACAGGAGGCCCCTTGAGCTAACAGCAGAGGGTGCTGCTGTCCCACCTTAGATTGGGTTTGGCAGCTTGGGACCACCCCCAGATCTCTGCACCTTCCTCAGGATGAGGCATCTGGGCCACAGGAGCAGATAACAGATTTATGGAGAGGAACAGGGGGAAGGCAGATGGCCTGGAAAGGTCTGGTTTGAGTGTGAGCAGGTAGAGATGGTAAATGAGTGAGTGGAAAGGTTACCTTTGTTGCGATTTTCAGGGACTCCTTGTTTTTTACCTGTTTGAACAAGAAAGAAAAAAATGGGGTGGGGACCCAAAATGACTATTCAGAGATCAGATATCCAATTTGCCAGTCCTGTTCAGAGCCTAAAAGGGTGACAGCAAAGGGTCTGAGTTGTAGTGAAGGGGATGTAAAGGAAGCTCACACCTTTATTTATCCCCATTTTTATTAGAGGCTCATCACAAATCCCTAGGGTATCAACTAGGTCACTCATGCAGGGGAGTACACACCCCCTTCTGAGCTGCTTTTTCCTGGAGCACAGTTGCTGTTGGGAGGTGCTTCTGGCCTGAGTCAAACCACTTGGAGAAATGGGGTGGGGGTTAGGAAGTGAGAGGTCTGAACTGTTTCCGCCTGGTGGCAAAGGCCGTGCAAGGTGCCTCCATGTCAGCTCATCAGCACCAGGCAAGCCTTCATGTTATTCACTCTGAAGGCAGCTGCAGAAATAGTCTGCTTCCTAACTGAATGAGCTTTGTTGCCTTTTCATTAACTGCCCTTCCCTAAACAGACCAAGATGCTCCTCCAGCCAAATGGTACAAATTTCCTTCTCTCCTCCAAGAGAAGGAATGCTTAGGGAAAGGTGCAGATTTGGTTTGTTATCTTTCTGCCTTCTGTTTTTCCTTCTTTCAGGAATAGTTCAGTTCAGCTCAGTCGCTCAGTCGTGTCCGACTCTTTGCGACCCCATGAACTGCAGTATGCCAGGCCTCCCTGTCCATCACCAACTCCCGGAGTACACCCAAACCCATGTCCATTGAGTCGGTGATGCCATCCAACCATCTCATCCTCTGTCATCCTCTTCTCCTCCCGCCCTCAATCTTTTCCAGCATCAGGGACTTTTCAAATGAGTCAGCTCTCCGCATCAGGTGGCTAAAGTATTGGAGTCTCAGCTTCAGCATCAGTCCTTCCAATGAACACCCAGGACTGATCTCCTTTAGGATGGACTGGTTGGATCTCCTTGCAGTCCAAGGGACTCTCAAGAGTCTTCTCCAACAACACAGTTCAAAAGCATCAATTCTTCAGCACTCAGCTTCCTTCACAGTCCAACTCTCATATCCATACATGACCACGGGAAAAACCATAGCCTTGGTTAGATGGACCTTTGTTGACAAAGTGATGTCTCTGCTTTTTAATATGCTATCTAGGTTGGTCATAACTTTCCTTCCAAGGAGTAAGCATCTACAATTTCATGGCTGCAATCACCATCTGCAGTGATTTTGGAGCCCAGAAAAATAAAGTCAGCCACTGTTTCCACTCTTTCACCATCTATTTGCCATGAGGTGATGGGACCAGATGCCATGATCTTAGTTTTCTGAATGTTGAGTTTTAAGCCAACTTTTTCACTCTCCTCTTTCACTTTCCTCAAGAGGCCCTTTAGTTCTTCTTCACTTTCTGCCATAAGGGTGGTGTCATCTGCATATCTGAGGTTATTGATATTTCTCCCAGCAATCTTGATTCCAGCTTGTGCTTCCTCCAGCCCAGCGTTTCTCATGATGTACTCTGCATATAAGTTAAATAAGCAGGGTGACAATATACAGCCTTTACCTACTCCTTTTCCTATTTGGAACCAGTCTGTTGTTCCATGTCCAGTTTTAACTGTTGCTTCCTGACCTGCATACAAGTTTCTCAAGAGGCAGGTCAGGTGGTCTGGTATTCCCATCTCTTTCAGAATTTTCTAGTTTATTGTGATCCACACAGTCAAAGGCTTTGGCATAGTCAATAAAGCAGAAATAGATGTTTTTCTGAAACTCGCTTGATTTTTTGATGATCCAGCAGATGTTGGCAATTTGATCTCTTCCTCTGCCTTTTCTAAAACTAGCTTGAACATCTGGAAGTTCACGGTTCACGTATTGCTGAAGCCTGGCTTGGAGAATTTTGAGCATTAGTGTACTAGCGTGTGAGATGAGTACAATTGTTTGAGCATTCTTTGGCATTACCTTTCTTCGGGATTGGAATGAAAACTGACCTTTTCCAGTCCTGTGACCACTGCTGAGTTTTCCAAATTTCCTGGCATACTGAGTACAGCACTTTCACAGCATCATCTCTCAGGATTTGAAATAGCTCAACTGGAATTTCATCATCTCCACTAGCTTTGTTCGTAGTGATGCTTCCTAAGGCCCACTTGACTTCACATTCCAGGATGTCTGGCTCTAGGTGAGTGATCACACCATCGTGATTATCTGGGTCACGAAGATCTTTTTTGTACAGTTCTTCTGTGTATTCTTGCCACCTCTTCTTAATATCTTCTGCTTCTGTTAGGTCCATACCATTTCTGTCCTTTATTGAACCCATCTTTGCATGAAATGTTCTCTTGGTATCTCTAATTTTCTTGAAGAGCTCTCTAGTCTTTCCCATTCTGTTGTTTTCCTCTATTTCTTTGCATTGATCACTGAGGAAGGCTTTCTTACCTCTCCTTACTATTCTTTGGAACTCTGCATTCAAATGGGCATACCTTTCCTTTTCTCCTTTGCTTTTCGCTTCTCTTTTGTTCTCGCTTTCAGGAACAAATGAATGGCAAAGACAGGGCTAACTTCGAGGCAGACATTCCCTATCTGTTCCCACCCTTCTGGCTGTATCTCTCTTCCTGCTCACAGTTTTAGCAGGAAACCAGTTTCTTCTCCTGGATAGTTTTCCCTTAGCCTTGATGGTTCATATAACCCCCCGTGTCTGAGGAAGAAAGGGGCGAGGATTGGAACCTGAGCACACTGCCAGCCTGTTTGTGCAGGCCTTCTACCTCATTCTCTTACGGTCCACCAGTAAATGCAGGAACCAGTGCAACCTGACCGTGGAGTGCAGAGCCAGATCCGATTTTCGTTAGAGCACCGTGGGGAGTCAGGGATGAAACCTTTAGCTAAACAAGGGGTTTGGAGATCTTTCCTCATCATCCTGCAGAGTCTGCCAACCAGGTGTTCCACTCCAGACCCGCTCCCTCTCTCAGTCTGTCCATGGGGATGGGAGCGGGGAGGCTCTTCTGAAAGCCCCTTACCTTTCTTTTTCTTCTCTTCCTCTTCCCCTTCACTGGCTCCCAAGAGGGTAAAAATGATTCCAGTCTGAGAGTTGATACCCACAGCAGTCACTACCATTCGTCCAGAACCTTCCATTACATGGGTCCCTATATGAGAAAGAAGACGGGAGAAGAGTTTTTTCATTTTGTTTTTTTTTTTTAACACCTGGCCATTCTTTGGTGTGAAACATAAACTTGGAAAAATGCAATCCCTCTTCCTTCCTCTCCCATGCATAGTGTTATACTCGGCAGATAGTAGGAAAAGATCAAGAGCAAGCAACCCGGTGGGTAAGGAGAACAATGTGTCTAACGGCTTTGGGGTAAGGCTCCTTTCCCACCACCCACCCCAGCCAGCAGAGCCCTCGAAGGCTCCTGCAGCATCTGCTTCATGGACAACCTCTGTTAGGTTGCTCAATATCCTTGTATTCAACCCACTGACACGCTATAGCCCCCGCTGAGCCTTGGGGCAAGAGACAGGGCACGATCGGAAGACAGGGCAAGGTCTGGACACAGTCTCTGTGGCCGAGTGTCTGCGGGGAGGTAGACGGGGAGCCGGTGTAGTCAGAGGCCTCACCTGAGAGCAGCATGGGGTCCCTTTCCAAGGATTTCTTGACATGGTCCGACTCCCCAGTCAGAGAACTCTCGTCAATCTTGAGATCGTTGCCCTGGATCAGGATCCCATCTGCAGGCAGCAGGTCACCTAATACACGGAGGTGAAGAGGCGACAGGAAGAGGGCAGGTGAGGACCATCCAGCCTCATCTCAGGGCTGCTCCTGGGGCCCCACCTGTAGGCAATGGCCCGGGAGAGACTGGAGAACCTCTGAAAGACAACTTCAGGTCTGACAACCTGCGATAAAACTCTGCTCTGGGTATTATAAGTTCAAACGGTCACTGATCCCCAAACACCTTCTCATGGCCTGAATATTACATACTTGTAATCTAAGACACACAGGGTACAGTCTGACAGTCTTTGGCAGTTTCAGTTACTGCTTTCTTTGAATTTCTTTTCCATAACCTCCTTAAACTCTAACCTAGAACCTAACACAGTTTGGGGTCTTATCTTTTTGGGTCCTCAGCAATTCCCAGCCCCCTTATGCCAAAGGACCTAGCCCTCTGATAGGAAGGGTGGCACAGGTGTAAAAAACAGAGCTAAAAGAGAAAAGAACCACAGAGGTCTCACCGTATTTGATTTGGGCAATGTCACCCACCACAATCTCAGCCACAGGGAGCTGGATGATGTGGCCATTCCGGATAACGGAGAATTTCTGCTCCTTTTCGATGCGGTTCTGCAGCCCCCGGAATTGCTTCTCCTTGCTCCAGTCATTGAAGGCAGTCACGAGCACGACGATGATCACCGAGAATAAGATGGCTGCGCCCTCAATCCAGCCAGCTTCCGCCTCCCCTTCGTCCTCTGGGCTGCTGACGGCTAGACCACACTCTAGCCCAGGGCAAGGAGAGAAAAGGGTCACCGAGGGGCCTTTGCTGGCGTTAAAAATGGGGGTTCTGCTTCTGTAACTCCCCAGAACAGAAAGCCAGGGGAAGAGAAGAACAGAAAACCTGGGTAAAATAGCCATCCTGAGGATACCAGAGGATGGCAGGATTGGGCATCATCTCATCACCAATATTAACTATTTATGTTTACCCAAAAAAGGCATATGACTAAATAGCATGAAGCATGTCAATGAAAACTATAGGCAAGACACATATAGAAACCTTATGATCCCCAGCATGGTAGTTCCCACTGCTATTTCCTGAGATGCCCACCCAGCTTGGGGGACGGGGGATCTTTGAGGTGTACGGCCTTGGTTTATGAGGGTAGAGGATTCATAACATTCTGAATAAGGATTTACTGGGAAAGCGGGGGAAGACCCTGGAATCAGGATGAGTTGGAAGAATAGCTTACTAGTTACTTTTTAGTTTCCTTTGGAGAACCCACTCAGATAACGGGGTGGGGGGGGCGCACACACAACACTTAAGCTATTAGGTTGGTGCAAAAGTAATTGCAGCTTTTGCATTGTTGAAATTTGCCATTTGCTATTGGAATACGTTCTTAATAAATGTGGTTATGTTACATGTCATTTTAATGTGCATTTCTTGCTTTATGCTTTTTTTTGCTAATGATATTTCTTGCTGTTTATTTTATATTTAGACTATGGAAATGATGTTAGACAAGAAGGAAATTTGAGCGATTTTCTTATTTGAGTTCAAAATGGGTCGTAAAGCAGTGGAGACGACTTGCTACATCAACAAGATTTGGTAGAGGAACTGCTAATGAACATGCAGGGCAGTGGTGGTTCAAGAGGGAAATGAGAACCTTGAGGAATGTAGTGGCTGGCCGCCAGAAGCTGACAATGACCAACTGAGAGCCATCACTGAAGCCGATCCTCCTACAAGTAAACAAGTTGCCGAAGAACTTAACGTTGACCATCCCACGGTCGTCTGGCATGTGAAGCAAATTAAAAAGGTGAAAAAGCACGCTAAGTGGGAGCCTCGTGAGCTGACTGAAAATCAAAAACCTGTCATTCTGAAGTGTCATCTTCTCTCATTCCACAGAACAACAATGAACCATTTCTCGACTGGATTGGGATGTGCGACAAAAAGTGTATTTTACACAACAACCAGCGATGGCCAGCTCAGTGATTGGACTGAGAAGAAGTCCCAAAGTATTTCTCAAAGCCAAGCTTGCACCAAAAAAGGGCCACAGCCGCTGTCTGGCGGTCTGCTGCCGGTCTGATCCACTAAACTTTTCCAAATCCCGGCGAAACCATTACATCTGCTCAGCAAGTCAACACGATGCACAGGAAACTCCCACACCTGCAGCTGGCACCGGCCAACAGAAGGGGCCCAGTTCTTCTCCACAGCAACACCCAACTGCAGGTCGTACAAGCAACACTGCAAAAGCTGAACAAATTGGGCTACAAAGTTTTGCCTCATCCACCATATTCACCTGTTCAAAGTTCAAAGTTCAGTCATGTCCAGCTCTTTGTGACCCCATGGACTGTAGCTCCCCAGGCTCTTCTGTCCATGGGATTTTCCAGGCAAGAACACTAGAGTGGGTTGCCATTTCCTTCTCCAGGGCATCTTCCTGTCCCAGGGATCGAACCAGGGTCTCCTGCATTGCAGGAAGACGCTTTACCATCTGAGCCACCAGGGAAGCCTATAATCAGCTGACCTCTCACCAACTGACTACTTTTTCAAGCATCTCAACAACACTTTGCAGAGAAAATGCTTCCACAACCTGAAGGAGCTTCCACAACACGAAGAAGCTTCCACAACGCTTTCCAAGAGTTTGTCGGACCCTGAAACACAGATTTTTACACTACAGGAATAAACAAACATTTCTCATTGGCAAAAATGTGTTCATTGTAATGGTTCCTATTAAACTAGTTATGTTTTAAAATTCATGGTCTGAAACTGCAATTATATTTGCACCAACCTAATAAAATTTGTCAACAAATACTACGTGCTTTTCAGTGACAGTGGAAAGAACCCAGACCAGAGTCATGCTCGTTTGTTCAAGGCACTCACGTTCATTTTCTCCCCCCGGGGGGCGGTAGAAGGACAGGACCAGGGAGATGATGGCCGCGATCTCCAGGATGATGAGCGTGACGTCCTGAAGGGCTTCCCACACTAACTCTAAGAAGGTCTTGGGCTTTTTGGGGGGAATCAAGTTTTGTCCAAACACTTGTTTACGTTTCTCCAGATCTGCAGGGTTCCCAGATAGGCCTGAAAAAGAGACAAGAGTGGAGTGAGTGAGCAAGAGAAAAGTGGAAGAGCTGAATGACAGAGGAAGGCAGTTAAAAGAGTCCTTTAAAAAGGATCCCTTGCTTCCCAATCTGTCCAAATATGAGATCCAATTAGGGCGACCAACCACCCCCATTTTCCCAGACTCAGCAGGTGTGAAATGGGGGCAAACCAAGACAATCTGGTCACAGGGGCCACTCACTCCTCTTGGTCTCCAGGGTAAGCTAACCCAGACCTACAACTTCATCTCTTCCTCACTGAGTTTGCACCAGGCTTCAGCTCTAAGAGTACATTAAAATATTTCCTGAGACACAGAATTTTCCTCTTATATTAACATGTAAATGCTGGCCATGATTTAAAAGCAGAGGTGGCTTCTACCTACTGGCTCACACAAAAAGGCCATAATGAATAAGCTATTTGCTCAAGGTCATGCTAGGAGGCTAGGAGACAGAGCCCAACCAGTTGTCCTGATTTCAAGTTCCAGAGGTTTCAGGACATCAACAGAACACAGAGTTCATGAGACTCCTACTTTGGGCATCCCCTTTAAGCACCCAGAGCCGTCCCATTCCGTCACACACAGAGACACACACACATAGACACACACATCTTTAAGAGGTGCTACTGTCCTACTAAGAAGTACGTACTTAGAGATGTACTAAGTGCTACGAGTACTGCTTAGACAAAGCACTAGGAGAAGCACTATCGTTCAGAGTGAATAGAGAGAGAACATGAAGGTGAAAGCACTGAGTCAGACAGTACTCAGTCCGTGATCATCAGCACGCTCTGCGCTAACACACGTGTGCTTACATACCTGTGTGAGTGTGCACACAGAGTCCATGCACATTCCCAGAGGGAATAAGAGGCAGAATTATTCCCAGAATCCTAGGTTCTTCTCATGGGACCCAGGAGGGGTTACACTTTAAGGAAATAGGAGAACGCATGTAATTTAAATTAATGCCACGTGGCATTTTATCAAGTTGCTTACACAACTTGATTAGCAAATAGCCTTGGTTTGGCACTGGTTGTTGGCTATACTGCTTGATGGGCTCCCCACAGGCAAGGTGAGGCAACCTTTGTCTTGGAAAACTATCAGCAGTGAGGAGGGTTAGAATCAAGAGGATGGGGACACTTAACACAGCTTTATCCAGAGGCACAGGACTAGCAGATGACTGGAAGCTGCAAGGAAAGGATGGGCTACTGATGCCAAGGACCTCACACCTCTCCACACTGAAGGGCTAGTCCACTGGTGGGGGAAGGGGGGCACAGCGGGGGGCAGACTTCTATCTCCACTAAACAGGACCCAAGGGCGTTACTTTAAATGGCAAAGAAAGAGATGTGGGTTAAAACGAAGGAAGACATTCAGACAGCGATCTTGAAAATGGGAAAATCTGTACCCAAGGGAGTAGTGTTTGCAGGGTCCATTCCTCTACCCTAAAGACAAAAACCGCTCTGGAGAGGTATTGAAGTCTACCCGGGGACCCTGCCTGGAGATGAAGCAGGGGTGTGAACTGGCACCCGCGATTGTGGAGTGGGGACTGGAGACTACTTCCTTCCACTTGCTAGCGCTCAGGAGAGAGAAGCAGGAAGCTGGTTCGGGAAGTGACACCTGATGCTCTTATCCAGGGCCTCCTGCCTCCTTGGGGCCAAGAGCATGATCCCGGCTAGAGAGCTGAGAGGCACAGCAGAGCTCTGCAGGGGAACGGGGTGGGGTGGGGGGATTGGCCAAAGCACTAGAAGCAACACGGGCTGCTTGCCAGAGGCCCCCTGCCCGCACCACTCTGAGAAGTCGGTTCTCAGCAGGCAAGAAACGCCAGAGCCTGGGAAAGGAGTGTTCCTGGGCAGGGCATCTCGATCCCCAGGCGGGCAGAGGCGGAGTTGCTAGGGAACAGGGCCGTGAGGGGTGTTTCTCCCAGGGACCTGAGATAACACATCTGTGCCAACTTGGAACTGCTGTACTGGACGGCTGGCCTGCTCTTGAGAAACAGGAGTTCCAATAACTTGTTAATCGACCTGGGATGTTTCTTAAGAAAGCAGAATTTACAACGTAAAGGGAGATGCTATTCCCTTGGTAATAAGGGTGACTAGATGACTATGAGGGCAAATCAAGACATCAGATACAGGAGGTTACCACATGCCAATAGCCCAGTGAAGGCCAAAATGAGAACCTCAACACCAGTCTAGCTAAAAGTGCTTCCCTGGTGGCTTAGATGCTAAAGAATCTGCCTGCGATGCAGGAGACCTGGGTTCAATCCCTGGCTTGGGAAGATCCCCTGGAGAAGAGAATGGCTACCCACTCCAGTATTCTGGCCTGGAGAATCACATGGACAGAGGAGCCTGGCGGGCTACAGTCCATGGGGTCGCAAAGAGTTGGACACGACTGAGCGACCAACACTTTCACTTCCACCGAGGTGACCCTGCCCCACTCTGTTCTCATATTAACGCCTCGTAATCATCCTCGACTCCTCTTTCTCTCTCTTATCTGCAATACCCATTTAGTCAGAAAATTCATCATCTCTACCTTCGGAATATATCCAGACTCCCCTCACTTCTCACTTTCCGCTGCTCCCATCCTGGTCTAAGCCCTGGTCATCTCTCAGCTGGACTACGGCGACTACCCCACCAGCCTCCCGCTTCCACCCTTACCGTTCTGTTCTCAGTCTATCCCGTTTCCGGAACAGTCGCTCTCAACCCAGTCCATGACACTCATCTGCCCTTTTACGTGGAGTGAAACTGAGCAAGTTCATGACGGCCTGTAGGCCCCCTTTGTGAGCACCCCGTTTCCCACCTGTCAAGTGCTACTATTTCCGCCTTGATCGCCGAGATCCCGCCAAGCTGGCTTTCCGGCCACTCTCTGTGCGTGCCAGACGTATTTCTATGTCAGGGTCCCTGCACGTGTTGTTTTCTTTCTCAGATTTCCCTTCACTAGTTACGGCTTGTCCTTTCACTTCCTTCAGGTCTGCGGACAAACGCCACCTGCCACGTGAGGCCCACCTTGACCAATGTATTTTACACGGACGTCTCTGCCCCAGCACATGGGATCCCTGTCCTGCTCAACTGTTTCCCTCTATAGGTCTTCTCCTGGAATAGGTTATTTGATGTATTTGTTCTATATTTGTTTATCTTCCTCTACAAGGTCAGGATTTTTGTCTTCATTCCTTAGGTCTAGAATAGTGCCTGACATGTACACAAATTCGTTGAATAAACTGCATGAGTAACAGATATCATTGTGAACATTTAAGTGATTACAGTTGTGCCAGGCACATTTGTGTCTTCTTACCGAAACACTGCAAAGCCCTGTGTGATGGCTGCTATCAACCCCATTTCACATACAAGCAAACTGAGGCCTAGATGGGTAACTGGTAGTTGCCTACTGGTAGCTACTCCAGTAAACATGTGGCGGTCTGTAACTGCTCCACAAGAAGCAGCTGGATGCCAGCTCACACACAGAGGGGGCTGGGGCACGGGGGCAGCTCTACTCAGCTAAGGTTCCATTTTGCTGTGACTAACCTTTCCTTCTCTGCCTAGGACTTTCCAGATTTCATCACCAAAGCGCCTGTCTCCTGGGACAACCCCTCAGCTCCAGGCAAACAGGAATGGTTGGTCAGCCTTCTTTATTTACCTCAGGGCAGGCCCACTAGCCGCTTTTCTCTGCACCTCTAGGCAAATCAGTCTTGTTCCTACACTTTATTTACAATTGCAGTGAATTAGTCCTGCCTTTTCCCTGTCCTCAGGGATGGTGACACCAGGTCTGTCAGAGTCCAACCTATGAATTTTATATTCAATAAAAGTTTCATTATTGGCCTTATTTTGGACCCAAGCAAATGAAACAAGATACATTATGGAAAACAAAAGAGGTCAGGCCTTGCTCTTACCTAGATGCTCTCAAAGTCACACATTTACTTCCTCTTTGCATTTTCTCTCACCTGTCTGCTCCACCTTAAGTCACCCTCAGCTCTTAAATAAAAGCCCCGCTAAGAAGTCAAGTGGCCCCAGAACCCCACAGGCCCTCTGGCAGGGAGGGGCAGTGTGGGGCTGCTAGCCGGTGGCCTTGGGAATCTGCTCTGACAGGCAGCATTGCACAGGACAGCCATGTGGGACGGGAACTCCGCCAGCCCCCAATGTGGGGCTTTCCATTCCAATGCTTCCAGCCCCCGAGAGGCTCTCAGGCCTTGATCTCAGCAGCTGCGATTTCACAGAAATACTTGCCCAGGCCAGAGGGGGTTTAAGTCTCTCATCTTCACAGCTGCTTCTCAAGTACACCGCTTCCCAAAGTGGGGAAGGAGGACTTGGCAGCAAGAGAATGTTGGAAACTGGAAAGGGGTTTCCCCTAGAAATACATCAAGAAAATGAGCAGAAACCGTGTCCCCAAGAACATACGAGAAACAGTCCCACCCAAACTGGGAGTACCTCTGGCCCTCAGCCAGATTTAGCACATGAGCTGGGAAAGGGGACAAGAATGTCGGCCTGGGAAGCCACCACCCGCACCCCAGGCTGGGGAATCACACGGCCGGGCAGGGGCCTGTGAAGATGGAATGGGCGGCGGTGGAAAATCTGTGTCTGTTCTGCCGTGGCTTGGGAGGAGGAGCGGCAGCCCAGCCCCTTGTGGCCTGGCTCCAGCGGGGAAGGAGGGAAGGGCCTGGCCGGCTTCCCCACGGAGGCCGAGGGCTGTCTGCAGAGGCTCCCTTATCAGAGCCGGCGCAGAAAGGGTGCAGCCCGGTCAGACATCAGGAGGGACTTCCCAGCTGTGTGAGCGATGATACCTTGCCACGGGGTGAGCAGAATCTCTGCTGCACAGACAGTACTAGGGAGAGGTTTCTCTGGGCTGCTCAGAAGCCAGTCCTATTCGGTACATGAGAAGAACAGACATCAGAACATCTTTCAAGTCCTACCTTAAAACCCTGGACTGGGGGGTAAAAGAGAAGTGAAAGTGTTGGCCACCCAGGAGTGTTCGACTCTTTTGCAACCCCATGCCCATGGACTGT